CTCTAAATTTCCTCTGGCGGTTGGTTGACCTAATCGCCAGACCTGCGAAAGATAATATAGGACTACGTTGAAAAGGTCTCTTGTGACTATTCATTCGTTTGAACCAATCATATTGCAATCTTCATTGTTTTTATCCAATCACACTGCGTTTCTCGATGGGTGAAATGCACAATATATAAATATATATTATATATATATATATTAGACGGCGGCATCGCATGAAATGGACCGACTCAAACGGGAATGCGATCAAGCGGTACACAACATGCAAGAAGAACTGGACCACCAAACTCGACAAGTGACCAAGTTGAAGGTCGCGATGGCCCATCAGGTGGATATATATATATATATATATATATATATATATATATATATATATATATATTTGTGTTTTGAATGAATATATAGGCCGGTTCGTGTTTGTATGAACTATATATCTTTCAAATAGGAAAAGCAATGGAAAGAAGACGTCCAAGCGTTGGTGCGACGCAACCACGCCCTCGCCAAAGCCGCTCGAGACGAGGTGCGTTTCTAGTATTACTAGATATGTGACATGGTTGTCGTTTCTAGTATTACTATATGTGACATGGGGTTTACGTTGGTGTTTTGGTAGAGCTTTGAGCCGAGGAGTAGAGCCGCGAAGGATGGAGATCGACGGATTCGAAAGGCTCCGACTAGTAATACTACTAGTATGCGGGAGCTGTCTGTGCTCATGGAGACCAACCTGCACGCGTCCCGCCAGAAGTTTAATGCTAACCAGAGGCATCGCGACGACAATGACAGTTAACAGTTAATGCGATATGGAATAACTATTGGTGTTTGTTAGTCATCAATTAGTTAATACACTAAACAATTAGTTAATGCCAACAATTAGTTAATGCTAAATCATGCAGTACTGGTTAGTTTATCGGGGTTTCATCCTTTATAAAAGTCGAGTCAAATACGACTTTTTGACATTCAAAGTACAGGAATACTACAGTACAGTATGTATTGTTTTTCCAAAATTTGGCTGACTTTTGTGCTGCATCGCCAAATCTATCGATATATTGATTCATTATACTGAATTTTGTATGTAGCAAGGTGTCCTGTGGTGATGGGTATCACACTAATTGAAACCATACACTAATTTGACATTGATCATGGTGACCCTGATTGGCTGCCGATTCTTGTGTATATTTGGTTGTGTCGATTCATTCTCCAAGTCGCTCCAGTTTAGAATAAACACAACAATATAAGCTTAGGAGTGAGACTGGTGTCATGCAGAAGTTTAGTTTAGCCAATCATGTAATTCGTTCTACTTGTGCTCTAGCCAATCCTGTCCAGAGTGAATACTCGGGCCGTAACCCTTAAACATCACATTATACTGATAATGGTGAAATTATGTGAAAATGGTGATATTATACAATAGAGCCACCAAGGTACTGCCGTACAAAGTACTAGTTTATTTACAGTAACATTACGGTACTTCATGTAGGAGTTAGGCAGTCGAGAATGCCAAGTCGGGCACGTAGACATGGTGTGCGTAGCCTGTCGCCATGGAGGAGATAGTTTTGACGCTGGTGACGCGTCGGGGGGTCGTGCGGCCCACGATCTGCTCGGACGTCGAAGTCGCCACGATGGTCGGCCGGCATGGCGGTCCGTCGGCCAACGCTGGATGGATGGGCGTCCCTGAGCAGTACTCTGCCTTTCCACGATATGCAACCCAACTGCCAACGGGCCTCAGGAGGTTGCAGGGCTAGCCATTGCCGAAACCACTGTTCAATATGAGTACCCCCTCGGCGCGTACATTGTGACTGGAGCGACCACACCAAGTGAGACAGCGAGTGGCACTGGAATACTGTATACAGATGGCACCGTGGACAAAGGTATGTCCCACATCGAGCGGGCGATGTAGATGGCATCAACACCGACATCACCTCGCCCCCCACGTGCAAGATCACTTCGTTATATGCCTACATATTCAGCCGACTTTACCGACTGCAAGAAAGTGGAGTCGTTAACATGGGACACTGCTGGCCACTATGTCGCCAACCTCATCGCCGTCCAAGTGCTGCTGAGTTTACTGGCCATGGCCTTGACCAGAAGCGACTTTTACGTGACGATTCCTCCTCCACCAAAAACAAAAGTCATGACATATATATGTACGATTTGCTGGCCGGATTGGAGCGTCTCAAGCTGCTGCTCGTGGTGGTCGCTCTTGTACGCGGACGTGGCGCGCATCTACCGCGGCACCGCCAACTGCGATCTCATCTGGTTGTCCCTGTCTACGATTCTAGTACGCATCTTCTTTGGTACTCATAGTTTTGCAGTATGTTGCCAGCCCCTGGCTTTGTTACCTCGTATCTTTCTCGCCAGGTTTGGACCCCCACCAATGGGTTTCTAAACCAACGCCACCAGTCACTCTGGATCAGTGGGCTGCCGCTTGACCAGGTGAACGCGATTAAGATTGACAACAAGAAATTTTGCAAACAACCAGTACCCATGCCGTGCTGGGCTTTGCAGTCGTCGTGAATGTGACCACTGACCGGTATAAGATCGCCCAGACCAGCAAGACGGCGTACTTCTCCAAAGACACGATGACCCTGAGCACCGTCTGCCACCTCGTGCCCACCCTCGCCAAGCTCCTTACCATCATCCCCGAACAGCTCAGTCCTCAGATCTACGGCATGATCGACAAGAATTCCTTCACCAGCCAACACACAAGCGACGACTAGGCCGGTCCGCGTATGCACGGTATGTGCATTGCCAAGGCGCATGTGTGAATCGACAGCTCCTTCCTTTCGTACCAGTATGTGTCAGTGCCATCATATGACTCTTCGTGTAAATTCTGCAGCAACCGAGCTATCCGAGTTTCAGTAGGAGATGATGCATCATCTCCTACTGAAACCTCGAACCCCCCCAAACCCAATATATCTGACTCGACCCCGCCGTTGGCACTCGTTCAGACATTGACACGTGAAACCCCTTCTATTTTTAGCCCGACTAAGTTGTTTCGGCTTGCCAAAGCCAGACTAAACTCGGGTGGAGAAATACACAAGCTTTACTTCATGCTATCGTAGTAGTCACGCTAACGTTCGTACGATGGAAGTCGCTGGCGCCGGCATTCGACAGCTGCTCATAAACTCGCTCCATCACTACGACAGGGTCCACCACTTGGAGCCACCACAAGGGGGCTATTTATAGCGAGCAAGTCATCATCGTCGGAGAACGTGCTTTTCGGTTTGGAAACGTCTGCGTCACGACCGTTTCATTGCTTATTCGACTCGGTACCCAACTTAGTCGAGTCTTCCTCTGATGCCCACAATTGAAATAATCTCGACCGCCGTCAATCATGCGAACCCCTTACGGTAGCGAAAACAAGGAAACCGATGAGTTTCTCACGCGAATGACATCGCTGGCTGCCCCACATCATCCACGCCCCCAATCAACCAGACATCGACCAGCCATGCTCTGCGTTGCTTTCTTCGCCACGTGCGCTGCAGGGGCCCTCGGCCTCGTTTCCCAGCAACGCCATACAGTCGCAGCAACGCTCCAAACCAGCAACTTTGATTCGCTCGATGTCATGCCGCCGCCCTCCAACACGATTGTATTTCCATGGCAGACAATTGGGCTCAACGTCCCTGCAAACCCAGCGCCGTTCGTGGCCAACTGGACGTCAATTGACGCCAATGCTGACGGAAGCATCAGCTTGAACGAACTGCTGGGGTACCTCACGAGTCAAAAAGATGCGCAGGTGCAGCGTATACAGGCCGCCGCCGCCGCCGCCGTCGCGCAGGTTCAAACGACGTTTGATCAACACTCGGGGTGTGTCAAGACGGCGTACGCAGTGGTGTGTATTCATTCGGTTGCCCTTGTTGTCCTGCCTGGTCACTAACATATTGTGGTTGTGTGAGTAGCTGATCGACGCCAAGCAACCTTCCGATAAAAAGGAGATTCTCACGGCGGCGGAGCTCGGCACGGTGCTAAAGTACGCACGAGACCAGTGCTACAACAAGCTCACGCCATCGCCCACCCCCAACGTCGATGGCGGCAACGTGGTTATCGTGACTACTCCTCCTACTACTACTACTACTGCCCCGACGACGACCACGACCAGCACGACGACGCCAGTCCCCACGACCACGGCCAGCTGGGCCGAGCCTTCGACTACGACGACGCCCGTCGTCACGTACTACGTGCCGTCGCGCGACGAAGTGCTCAAGGAGCTGGCGGCGTCCGTGGATGTGCTCGCCAACCAAACCAACTTGACCTATACATTTGCCCATATTGTTCTCAACCAAACGCGCGACAACGTCACAGCCAAGATCGACACCAAGTGGTTCAACTCAGACGGAGAGCGCGCCGTCGCCAAGGCCGAAGTGGCCAAGTACTTTGGCACACTTTCGTCGTGTGTGGACATTGCCATGGCAGTGGTACGTACGTTGAATCAGATATATTATCCCGGGGTTTCGGGGTTTTGGAGGGGTTTCGGGATTCTGACGTTGCTACGCACTAGTTTGGCCGGTACATCAACGTGTTGGACGCGTTCGAGTTGGCGCCAGCACTCGAGTGGATCAAGAGCACTTGCATGAACACGGCGGACGCCAAGTTTGGCAAGACCGACACCAACCAGAACAACGTCGTGGAGGAGTTTGAAGTGATCGCGGCGATTGTAAAGATCCGCGACGACAAGCTGTCGACGATGGTCAACCTCACCGACCCCACGGCATACCAGGCGGCTTTCTTTGCGACAAGACAACTGTATAGCCAAACCATGGAATGCGCCCACAACGGCATCTCTGAGGTGGGGATGATTACCTACCTATTGACGGGGTTTAGCTCCCTTGGAGCTTTCTTCTAACTGTTAATGGTGAGTAGTTGGGCGACCCCATTACTCGGACATTGAACCGCGAACAATTCTACGGCCTGGAGGCATGGATGTTGTCCCACTGCAGCATCATCCAACCCGATGTGTCGGTGATCGGGTTGCTTCCCACTGCGACGGGGCTCGCGGGGAATTTTTCCCTCGCCAACCTTCAGTCGTTGTTGGCCGAGGCCAAAGCCAATGACACACAAGCGGTGCCTGCAAACGACACGTACCACGCTGCCACGATCGATGATCATTACCGCCTCGTGGAAGTGTGCTTGAACGGATCGTATGCAAAGCTCAACGTCACCGTAGGTTAACCTAAGCCACTGTGCGTTGCTGACGAAGAATCTGTAGAATGAAACCACGTACGCGACGTTGCTAGCAAACGTCAAGACGTGCGTCGCGCAAAGCGTGCCCCTCACGATGCCAGTGGGAATATTCCTGAGCCGCCCCGAGTTCCAAGCCCTGCTCGAGCTCACTTGGGCATCCGAGAATGCAAACTTGGACTCACAGATCCGCCAAGCCCAAGCCGCCCTGGACAAGCTCAAAGCCAAGAAGGCGGCGCTGGCTGCATGTATCGTACAGGCAGTGGACAGCGCAGCGGCAGGAGAAGCCAAGATCTCTCAGTCGCAGCTGGTCCCCGCACAGAGTTTTACCAAGCAGTGCTACGTCAAGGCTACTGCTACATAGGATGGTTAGTTACTGATTTGCAACGTCTACAGTGTGCAAGAGTCAAGCTTCAGCTAACGTTACCGTATCTGTCGTTGATCTGCACCATGACATATAAAACGTAATGATATATACGTATGGGCGCAGTTCCGTGACACTTTTTGGGTCCCTTCGATGCAGGGGTTCCTTTACCCCAAATTGCTATTATAATAGTAGTTGTTCGGATGTACATCCGAACAACTCCTAGCAATGACATTTGACAATAGTTTGAGATTACGAAAATAACGTTAATACTAGTAGCCGGACAATCCATAGGACTGCGAAACAAATACCGTTGGTTTCGTCGACGTTTCGTAACCCCAACCAATCTAATTCGAAGTATCTTGCTCATTGACCAAACAATCGATTGAATTGGTTGGGGCTACGAAAATTGCACGAAATCCATTATCACGAAATCCATTATCCGGAGGCGACTCCGGTGACGCCAAACGCTATTGGACTACTTACATGGTCACGGAAGGCATCATCGCTTCGTGATTGAACCTCGTTCGCACTCCTGGGATCCAAGTCTATGGTCGCCTCCCTTGGCAACTTGCCAATGAGGTCTGTATGACCGACATGAACAACGAATGCATGCTGACATTTATGCTTGTAATGTGCTTAGTATGCATCGAGGAGTCTGGGCTCCTTGAACTCCCTTGTTCTGAATTAGACGCCCTAACTCAATGTGGCAGTGATGGCAAACATCGCTGGCGCTCACGGAGCGCATCACCCAAGCAAGTCCTCCACTGTCTACAACGTCAACGCCCCGAGCGGCACTGAGATTTTCGTTCCCTGATACGGTAGTCTCGGAACGTTTTCGGCGATCGGTACCTCCACGACGACGCGCTCCTTAGCGTTTTCTCGCACTTTGACTGGCCCCTGTCGGTTTCAAATCAACCCATAGGGGCCACGAATGTAAAAGTGTTTGCTGCCGGTAGAACTTCGCTAAGGTGGTATGTTCAGCTTGAACGGGTAGCAAAGCACCCGAGCCTAGACCATTCGAGGTCAGTACACGAACCGTTCGCTGTGGGCTTGCTGGTGCCATGCACCTTAAGTGCAGCAATCTGAAGTACACCATAGCCCTTCAAAAGCAGCATAAAACCGCCCGAAGTGGTTGGAGCTGTACCGGTTTTGATCAGATTCCACTGACATTTTCGTAGGTACTGACAGTGAAGCGGGGGGTATACGGTGGCCATTCTCCAGAGTTGCCAGAACTCTGATGATTACGTGAAACGCCGTCCAATCATCAGCTGCCTTTTTTGCACCAGATCAACCGTTCGAACTTGTGTTCAACAAGATGGGGCCGCCATTCACCGTTCCAAGACGTCGATGAAATTTTGGGACGAGTAGAACATCGACTTATTTGAGCACCATGCACTGCCCCCAGGCCTCAACCCGATCGAAAACGTCTGGGGAATGATGGTGAAGTACGTGTATGCGAGTGGAAAGCAGTACGCACTTCGACGCGACTACAAAAATACACATTGCTTGTCATATCAATGATCGAGCCACTACAGTGATGGCCGTTAAAAGTGGACGAAAGTAGCAATAGCCGATTCAGTCGGCGAGATTCGATTGAATGGGGTACGGAAATTCGTACCGAATCTCACTTACTTGCTGTGATTTCAACTGCAAAGGTTGTGACGACGACGAATTTGGTGTGACCAAAACCACCACTCGATTTTCATCACTTCGAAGAACATCGAGTTTGTGTATTAACACGTTACCACATAACACACTTCTTGGTCGGGTTCATGGGCGAGTCCACAGGGCAGTTGAACACTTTGGCAAAATCGACCGAGTTTTGAACCGACCCGATCAAGCGGTGGCGACCAGGGGGGTGTACGTCGGTGAGCAGAGCCTGGAGGAGCGCATCGCTGTTCTTTTCGCACCATGATTGGCTGTACCTGATCCAAAACATCTTTTCGCCTGCTTCCTTGGTGTACTTGGTGGCTTCGGCCTCAGCGTGCACGTAGTCTCGGTACGCCCGGTACGCAGTGTTAAGCCCCCCATTGTCAGCGAGGGTTTCCCGCAATGCCATTTTGCCGTCCAACTTGCCGAGCAATTTCCCCGTGAGCTCGCTTTTGACGTCCATGGACCCATACTGCTCGACGAAGCACTCGGAGTTTTCGCTGAATTGTTTCCACGTGGTTTCCGTCCACCACGGTTTCTTTTTGCCGTTGCCGTCGTATCTTCTGCCATGGTTGTCGAAGCCGTGGGAGATTTCGTGGCCGATGATAAAGCCAATGGCGCCATAGTTCGCGGACGGGTCCGCCTTGGCATCGAAGAACGGGGGTTGCAAGTAGGCGGCGGGAATCACGATTCTGTTCTTCGAAGGCTGGTAGAACGCATTCAGGGCTAGCGCAAGTTTGTTCCAAAGATGCTTGTCCACGGCAGTGTCGATAAGAGCTAGGTTGAAAGTAGTGTCGAACGCAGACACCTTGTTCAGGTTGGCAATGTATGCCTTGGGGTCAAACGTCAAGGTGGGGTATGTCTTGGGATTCTTAGGCCCCCCCAAGAGGTGGGTGAGATGGGACAACTTCTCCTGTGCGTTGGCCCGAGTTGCGTCATCGAGCCATTTCGCGCTGTCCAGCCTGGTCTTGAAGGCCGCTTCCAGCTTCAACACGAGCAAGTTAGCCTCCGCGGCGGTCTTGCGCGTCCACACTTCCTTGAGATAGTACGAGCCCAGCAGTTCGCCAATGGACGTCTCCACCTGAGTGCGGCAGATCATGGCCCGCGACGGGGGTTCTTTGAGGCCTTTAATCACCTTGTCATAGAAGTCCGAGTGTGCTTTCACAAACAGTGTTGACAGGAACGGCGCGTTGAAGTCGAGCACTTTGTACTCGATAATGGTCTTGAGGTCGTCGACGGACATGTCGCTTAGCAACCAGTCTAAACCCTCCAAATAACGGTGCAACTTCACAACGACCGTGGTCGTGTTGGACCCTTCGCGGACGTCGAACCCAAACCCTTGCAATTGGAGACCTACCGTCCGTGGGTACAACGCGTTGGCGGCGCTGAGCGACAACTCGATATCGTTGGACGCCACGGCCGATTGGAGTCTGCGATTGGACAGATCTACCCCGGCACTAGTGCGTAAAAAATTTAACACGACCTTGGTGGCCGCCTCCGCCTGCGCCTTCGCGTGACCGGCCAGCGTGAAGATCGAGGCAATGTAGTTGCGGTACGGCTCTTCAATATTGGCCCACTGTGATCCGTAGAAGTATTTTCGGTCAAACGGGAATTCCGAGTGTTTGGCACTCAAGACGTTGCGGGTAGTTTCGACGGCGTCAGGAGAGACCGACAGCTTCACGAACATTGGTACGCCGATGGCCTTGGAGATGGTTGCGCCGCGAAAGATGGCTTCGCCGGTCGAGTTGGCGCTGCGGATGGCCTTGAGGTGAACTTCGATGGGAGCCAAGCCCAAGGTGTCTAAAGTGGCAGTGTCCATACACGCGTCATAGAACTCGGCGAGTTTAGGCAGCTTGGCGTTCAACAACTTTTCAATCACCTTGTCCGCCGCAGCCTCAAGCACAGTGGGCACATTGATAGTACTTTGGTTGGCGTCGAGGGTGGTTTTATTGTACCACGTCCCGCACGAATACGAAAAGAAGTCGGTGCACGGATCGACGCTGTGATCCATGAGACTGGTCATCACTGTCGGAAACTCGGAGATGGTGCCGAAAGCAGAAGCGACACCGGCTGACAAGGCAGCCACAATGATCTTGACCATGACTGGCATATTGAAGAATGACCAAGCGACCAAACAAGCTCGCGAATGGTGGGGCTACAGGTACTGTATCCATCGCAATTTGGGAGTACCAAGGAGACATCTGGCTTTAGAATCAATGCACGAATAGCCCCTTTCTACTTACTAGGTACCTCTGTCCAGAAGTACCGTCTAGCGTAATGCGTGTCGGACGTCAGACACCTCTAGCTTTTGATAGTATTTGGCCGCTCGCAAAAAGTATTTACTCAGGTATACTTGGCATCAAGTAACTCAACAAACCCCGAAACCCCTTTTGATGTGTAGAGGCACGGTTTTGACAAACAGCACAGCTAGTATTAGACTTCGTGCACGAATGACCCTTTCTATATTGGGGGGCTGCTGCACAGCACCATACTAGTACTCATACCGGCAGTAATGAGTATTCCTAGTTGTTTATAGTGCAATTCCCGATTACCAGCTCCATTAACTGTAAATCATTTACCAGCACCTGACTAACTTCCAATATTACTGATACTGTATCAATACAATTGAACTGTCGTGCTTCCGAAATACTACGTAGTAGTATTTTAATTCGTCAGTAGATGTCAAACTGTGGTTGCACTTTGCTACTGATCAGATATATCTATTTCAATCAAGAACTCAGCAAATTCGAAAGAGATTAGGTTACTGATCCAAAAATGCAGTAGCCGATCATTTAACCCGCTAGGATGGATAAAAAAGCATATGGAACTAAATCAAATCGACCAGCAAACACGTTTTATTAATGGTATGAATCCATCATCTAATAGATCTAATAGCTGCATACTGGTATGATTGATCTCGTACTGCTTGGTCTTGGAGACGGTTGAGTACGGCATCGGTGTTGACAGGCACGGTTGGCGAAATGGAAAGTGAAGGGAATTGCAACGCCCAAAGGTGCAGTTTGGGCGCCTACCTCGATGATGTGGACACATATATAACCAACCTACTTACTTCAGTAGTGTTTTTGATATATTTAATCAAGTCTCCTTAATAAGTACATTTATGGAGACAGAATCACGCGATTCCCGTCCGTTAGGGTTAACCCTATAGGACGGGAAGTCAAGCCCAAGTACCCACACCCAAAATATCCGTACTGCAACGAAAAGTAACGGTACAATTGAAGTTATGGGGGAAATATTTGGGGATTTAGTATAATGTGCTGACAGCACGTTATGCTAACACGATATCAGTAACGAACGTTATATAAAACGAGTACCACGTAGTACACTACTGTTGGATAGGCCGAGGGGTGGGTTTCGGGGTTTCGAGGAATGGTGGGGCTACCGGTACA